AGAAAGGCCAATAAACAATTTAATTTGTTTTCGTTAAATATTATTTTATCACCTTCAACAAGAATTTATGATGTACAATTTTTATAATACTATATTGTGAMAAATATATACCATACAAAATTGATACAAAATTTAAAAATATGGTTTTCTTCTTTTGGAAGTATGAATAATTTATATACCACTTTCATACTTGTGAGATCTTATTTTTGAATAATAATACTTTATGTAATACTCTAAAGTCAAATAATACAGTGAAAATTAATTTTTGAAGTTAGTTAAATTCCAATACAAATTACAGCAAAATACTGTCTTAAATATTATTATTATTTCATTCAATTCTTAGGGCCGTTCTTACAATGTCCGGTTAAGTGTCGGTTAAGACTAACCGRTAGAAYTCTAYCGGTTAACTCATGATAAATTCTTCCGGTTAGTGTTATCAGGCACTAACCGAGCATTGTAAGAATGGCTCTTAGTCATTCTATTAGTATTTTAATGACTGTAATTTGGAGAGTGGAAAGTAATAATGTTTCAACTATTTATTAATGAAAATTATTTTATCATTACTATCGTACAATTATTTTTGAATTAAAAACTTTTTTTAAACTGTAATATATTACTATCTTACTCTTGTAGTCAGTATACCCATGTAGAAACGAAGTAAAATCTATTATTCCCAAAATACAAGAAAATTATTGTCACTGAATTAAAGAACGTAGAAAAGCCACTATGAGTCTATTGTTAATAGCTTCAACAGGTGCTGCAAACGTAGTTATAACAATTAATGGTAAAAAAATCTGATGTTGGTTATTCAGCACATAAAATACCTTAATGAGCCTCTTAAGAAATCTTAATGGGCTACCTTAATACCCAAATGTAGCAATTGCTGAACATTGTTTTTGAACCTGTACATGGGTTTAGTTGATTATAAAAGGTATTCTTTCAGTTTGTTTGAATGTTTGATGCATTTTTATTTTTTAATATTTAAATAAAGTACTTGGTATTTTAGTCTCATCATATTTATTTTCTTTAAATGTACACATTATTTACAATTAATTTGTTGTATTACTAAACACTAAAAATTACTATTCTGCTATATGCTGTTTACACAGATCTTCTAACGGTAAACGTGTTAATATTTTACCAGTAGCTGGTCCACTTTTGAGTTTGACATCAGCACAAAAATTATCTGCATCTATTTTTATAAGTTCTGCTTCTCGTCCAACATGCATACCATTCACCACTATTACTCTACCTCCAACATTTGGTATTACAGTTTCAACATGATTTTGATCCAATTTTAATTTTACTCTTGGTTCAAATAATTTTACCATGCAACCATATTTGTCCATTACTTTGATAACGACACCTTTTTTACCTAAATATTCTAGACCTAAGGTTTTAGTGGTCACTTTTACAACAATATTTTCTAATAGCCAATAATCTTTTCTCATGTAATTCTTTTTCTTTGTCTCTTCTTGTATAATTTCTTCAAGAGCAGATATTTTTCGTTTCTCAGATTTACGACTGCTTGATTTAGATATCATAGACATGCGGTCAGAACCGGCTTTGCTCAATATATTTTTAATTGAAGCAACAGATGGTTTTTTAAAAGCATCAATTTTTAAATTCAAAGATAATTTTGCATCTTCTTCCCTGATAAGTTCTTTTGTGTTGTCATCATTTAATGGTTTTTCGGTAGACTCTTTTTTTTGGCCTTCTCGGATTTGACGTTGTAAAAAATCTGTTTCACGTTCTTTATCATCTTTTTCTGCTTTTTCTTTTCTTCTCATTTTTTCTTCGAGTTCGATTGTCGCTGGATCACGGTCAATATATGTTATAAACCAGCCTTCATCTGTCTCATCAACCACGCACTTACCTGAAAATAAATTAGAAAACAATTGACATATGTAAATAATAAATTTATTATAATAAATAATTGAAAAATAACAAAATTCAAATAAAAACGTTTTTATTTTATGTGTATTGTAACCTAACTTAAATATTTTTCCTTAAAATGTATCAAACATGAATGCCTTATAAACAAATAACAGCTTAAGAATATAGTATAGGAACTAATTTAAAATGTATTTGTAACATATAATGTTAATTTCAATGCAATTGATACCTATTTAATTTTTATTTTGATATAATTGCTCATTTACTCAAAAATATTCGAAACTGAAAAATAATTAATTTATGTTTTAAGATAATAAATTAAAATAAAATAGTCATTACCTATAGAGCATGTTATTTTAATTAATGTTTACTGAGGGGAACTTCGGTAAAAAATTTTTACTAGAGGAATATAGGTATAGGTAAAACCAACCCAAACGCTGCCAACATTTTTTTTCTACTGGGGGGCAATGGTGCCGAACCTAATTTAGGGGGTGGGTAGTAGGTACCCTCTAACATTGGTGGTGTACATGTATAAAAAATTCTACAACTTTATAATTAAGATATGATGGAGCAGTCGACATAATATTACAGAGGGTCCTAGGGTGTAAAAAGCAAATAACTATATTTTAATATTATGATAAATTACCAATATTATACCTAATTAATTTCTAAACTTACAACAGCAGCTACAGCTAGTTCACGGTATTTTACGTAAACGATACAGAGTTTAACATAATATACACGAATATACGATACCTTGTTAGTATTAAACTATTGGTGTTATCCGAGATAATATATTTTTGTTACAAGGATAATATAATTTTATATAAATTTAGATATCAATTTAGATTTATTTGATAGGTAGTTTGGCAGAAGAAAAAGTGGACTGTCTGATGTTAATATCATGTGAAAATTATATTGACATTGACTCTGAATCAGTTATTAATATTTTTACATCATACAGTACAGTGCTAAAAAAAATATTATGTTAATAGGTAATAATATATATAATAAAATATTAAATAATGCAATAACACAATAAATAATATAATTTTTTTGTAAAAATAATATTTTGTAGTTTTAAAAATCGCTAGTGTCTAGGGGGTGTGGGGGGCTCTGCCCCTACGTCTTATTTTTCATACTGTGAAGAAGTAGGTGGATGGGTATAAATTAATGTCCATTGCCACACCTAAAAAAAATAGTTCGGCGCCACTGCTGAGGGGG